GTAATCAAGTAGTGCAATACAGTAGATGAGAAGCACGGGACAGTGAGACAGTATGAGTGGCATGGGACAGAGACAGGAGACAGTATAGAAGTATTGGATGGGCCTTCTCTGGTGTCTGAAATAAAATAGATGTGAATGAATTAGCCTGATCAATATAACTCATATGTTCCACAGATTTGCAAGTTACACTCACCTGATGGGCTTCTGGAAGCAAATTGAGCCAGCCACCCCCACATTGTAATGTTACATAAGAGCACGGAATCTGGCGAAGACTGATCAGGTCCCTCACTCTGCCAGTGCAACAGTAGGCATAAATGTTTTACTGTTGTCCTTACAAAGCATGTTATGTCACCATTTTCAAATTAATCCTTGTATCAAGATGATGTAGGTCTTGCAATAGGGTATTAAGATATTTTTTCCCAGGTTCTTCAACCAATTGACGAGTTCTTTCTGTTCATGAACTACCTGTCATTGGGACTGATGCAAAAGGATTTGGCCCACAGATTTAGAATACATCGGTCAACTGTAAGTCGTATTGTTAACACCTGGGCCAACTTCCTTTATACAGTATTGGGAGCTGTGGATATTTGGCTAGATGAGGACACTGTGAAAGCTCACCTCCCAGATGTGTTTCAGGACTACACTGACACTCAAATCATTTTAGATTGTACAGAACTGCGATGCCAAACCCCGAATTCCCTTCTGCTCCAGAGTGAGGTGTTCTCTACCTACAAATCGCACTGTACATTCAAAGGGTTGATTGGGATAGCCCCTCATGGTGCAGTGACCTTTGTGTCATCTCTTTATCAAGGTGCCATCAGCAATAAAGAGATCTTAAAGCAGTCTGGCATTGTGGCCCTCCTTAACCCATTTATGGCCATAATGGTGGACAAGGGTTTCCTTGTCGAAGACTGCGTTCCATGTAAAGTTCACATACCCACCTTTCTGTCAAAGAGAGCTCAACTGTCTAGGCCAGAGATCAGAAAGACACAGTCCATTGCCAGAGTGAGAGTTCATGTTGAGCGTGTGATTCGCAGGGTCAAAGAACATAAAATATTCAGTACAGTGATCCCCCTTTCAATCACAGGCAGCATTAACCAACTTTTTGCAGTTGCCTGTCTTTTGGTGAACTATCAAAATGGTCCCTTGGTGAAAGCCTGGGCAAGCGATTGCTAATCTTCAATCTCTCTAATCCAGAATTGGACAAATGATAATGTAATGTAAATGTATAGTTGTAATTATGTAAATATGTAATGTAAATGTATTGTTCTTATTTGTGTCTGTAAATGTATAGTTGTAATTATGTGAATATTTAATGTAAATGTATAGTTCTTATTTGTGTCTTAAAATGACCCCTTTAGGTCATGCACTTTAGGCACCTTTTTCACTTTTATATGTTAAAATTGACAACACAATACAACATTATGTATATATATATATTTTACAACTTATACTGTATATGTAAAAACAGACAACAGACTTCAGACCCCCCCACCTACCTACCCACCCACCTACCTTGTATATCCTTGTAAAATGAAATGAATACAATAATAATACATTTGACAGAATAAAAATAATAATTTTGTGAGTTCATGTCTTCATTATTTTTTTTTTTTAATTACTTGTGCATGGAGAGGTATTTTGGCATGTAAGTGTTAAAGAAAAACATGTCGCACCTCTTTTTCATCTCTTTTAACACATCGCTATCTCTGTATATGCGCTGAACAAAGATGTCATCATGGGCACAGACAACAAAATCACACCATTGCATCCCAGTGATCAATAACTGGCCCTGGACTTGCCAATAATAACAATGGCTCTCCTTCAATTTGTGTAGGCCTTGTGCCACTTTTAAGAATTTACAGTCTACATAGCTTTGTGCATTTGGGCATTTAATTTCAACAAGCCCAAATGATGGACGTTCAAGCGGGTCATATACAAGCCCATCAGGCGACGCACCCAGCCAAGTTGCATCGGGATGAACCACTAGCCCACACTTGGTTAGGTTCAGGTTTTTCAGAACTGCATAGTCCTTTAAAGCCCCCGTTTCCATTTCCAGTCCCCTCTTCATGTGTGCTGTTTGTTGTGTCCCTCGGATTAACCTTTCTGCCAGGTTTTCTGCGGGCCCTGGGCCTCTAACGTGCCTCACCTCTCTAAAATGTGAGGCAGTCACTCTTTCTCTCCTAAGTGAGTGCCACTCAGGTGTAGCACTTTGGCATCTTGTTGCCTCCTCAATGAGGTGTGACTGTGACAAGGTCACAGAAAGTGAGCTCAGATGTAGCTGTTCCTGGTGTGTTGGCACAAATGAATACTCTGTTGGGTTTAGATGGTAACCTTCTAGTGGCACACTTGGGAAGGGGGGTGCATCCTCATGTATCACAACACTGTCAGATGGAGGTGGTGGTTGTTGATAGGACAGTACACTACCATATTGTACTTTGCCAAACATGGAGTCCACAAGTGGCTTGTCAGCCGAGATGTTCATTGTGCAGATGAGTGGAAGAGATTCTGCTTTCATTCCAACGTAGGCAGGTCCAGGATTGAGGGTGGCTGGGTGTGGGAGCTCACCGCTGTAGCCCTTGTAAAGTGCAGATCTGAAATGACAGAACAGTCAATAATATTTATTTTTACACACTGTACTCTGTTCACCAGCACAGATGATTGTACTTCAGATTACATTATGTGATTCACAAAGAGGTAAAATTAAACAGATTTTGATGAGAGCAGGGTCTCCAGCAACAGCAATAATGGAATAACATCATCAGGTGATCAAAAGCATTTATTTTTAAAACACACTGTACTCTGCCTATTAAATTTGGTGCTACATACCTAACTCCACTGGCTGTAGTAGCGCCTAGTTTGGGCTTTAGGACAACCATGGCATCCACGGGTCCAGGCTTCACCCCTATTTATTTAAAAAGATGGTGTTAGTAATGTAACTGTAAAAAGTGAAACAGGTGTTAGATACTGAAATGAGACAAACCATTGTCCGTGGTTTATGCCACTTCTGTTCCGTCTGTGTGCATGCAAGGACAGGAGGGACGACAGACATGCCACATTCGGAATAATGAGCAGTCTGGAAAAGCAATGTAACTAAGTGGTTGCAGATTCCACAACCAGCCACACAAGAGCAGTTGCTGTTGATCAGCACAACTGGCTTTGAATCACGTAATGTCATCTGAAATACACAGAGGCAAAATTGAATTTCTTGAAAAGACTGTCTCCAGCAATGGAAATAGGAGCAAAATTTGTCCTGTCATGTTGTTTGTGCATGTGCAACCGGCAGTCCTTTCTGTGCGTTACTGTTGTCCCCCGGCAGCCACCGTTAGCTTTGTTCCTTGCAGACACGCCCTTTAGGTAGCATTTCAGTGGCTATCCATTCATTGTTGAAGTGCAAAATTTGTATAAAACTGCTTTTTCGGGCAGGCCACGTAAAAAGCTCTGGTATACTGCATCGTGCTTCGCCCTCGCTGTATTCACCGGGAAGGTGTCCTGCAGCATAACGTTGCCTAAACGCTTCCGGGTAGCGTGGAAATAAACTACCGAAGGTTTTGGTCCGAAGGACACCGAGAGCACTGTTGCCTGTGCCTTGCTGCCCGAGGAATTTGGCAACGTTCCAGCAGTATACGGTTTCCATTTGAGACTGGGCCTGAGACGCCAGGCGCCAGTATTTATGCCAGTGAGCCTAAGGTACATGGAGGTAAATTGGAATAATGCTTGTTGTGTTAATTTCATACGTGTCAACCTACCTTTTGTTAATGTTCATTTTATCTGCTATGCCCTCGACTAACTGTTGTTTTTTTTAGCAGAACGATTTGCCACTGCTGCTTTGCCTTGCGTTAACTTAGTACTGTATTTTAGTCTTTGCCCTTTTGTATCTTGGTTTGTTTTGATTTATTTTGTGTGCTGAGCACTCTATTTATGCTCCGCGTGCATTTTGGGTTTTGTTTGTTTCTTTTCCACCTCGCTGTGCTGGCCTTGGGAAGTACAGACTGCCACCATTGGTCTACTGCTTCTGTGGCAGCGAATTGGGCCATTTGTGTGATGTCCTTTTCAGGCTCCTGCAGCTAGTCTAAACAAACCTTTTTCTTGCATCTTCTTTATAGCCGCATGCAGCATCTCAGCTGTTCATCGGGGCAGGTCGCCGGATCTGAGTCCTCCTTTCAAGACTGCACACAGTACTTGTAGTGGTAAAGAGCACCCCACCATTTGCTGTGATCACTTGCTTTGCAGTATCTGCCTGTGTGTGTGTCTGTTTGTGTGTGTTGATAGGCACCAGAGTCAAGAGCACGTTTGGTGTGTCAGCCTCACTCTTCTAGGACAGGTAACCTACCCTCCGCAGAGCTGCTCTATTTAGTCCCTTGTGCTAATTGATACCCAATGTTATGGGTGGCAGTCTTTACTTTCCCTGAGTGCCGTATGAACTATTCCCATTCTGTGAGTAGAAGTATCTCCATGTAAAGCAAAACAAATAAACTGAAGGGGTATCTTTTTTTAAATATTGTTTCATTTTGTATTATCCATTAATAAATTCATTCTTTTGACTGAAACCTCACGTCTCTGTGCTTCCTAATGCATCTGTTGGGGATAACCCTCTTGTCTTAATCCAGGTGTTTAGAGATAACTAAGTATAATATATCTTGAGGTGAAAGGCCCCAGGTGGCGTAGTCAAGCACCTTAGCCAAGAACCTTAAATTAACCCTTCGGTTCACAAAGGTGAATGTAGCAGGCCGAAGGAGGGCCCGGGCGAGGACTTGAGCCTCCAGACTCCCGGGTAATAGCCTAACGCGCTGACCACGTCGCCAAAGAGCCAGGCTCGTTGGCAAGGTAGCCAGGGCGCGCACTTATTAGGAGGCATTCCCGTGACAGGACCCATCAACTATCACATCTCTCCCCCTCTTTCAGGAGCGTGTCCTCACGCTCCATGCTTTACGCACGCTGCCATCCATTAGGATCACCCAGATCCTGCCGATTACGCCAGAATGTAGCAGGCCAAAGGAGGGCCCGGGCGAGGACTTGAACCTCCAGACTCCCGGGTAATAGCCTAACGCGCTGACCACGTCGCCAAAGAGCCAGGCTCGTTGGCAAGGTAGCCAGGGCGCGCACTTATTAGGAGGCATTCCCGTGACAGGACCAACTGTCACACATGGTGTAAGTCCACTGTCTCATGTGACATTTGTGCTGTTCTGCATCACTCTTACACCACTTGGCGATAATATCTTTCTCTTGCGCAGTGTGGTGCATGAACTACCAACTTCAAATCCAATAGTTCGCTGAACAAGCTCATGATTGATGTTTCTGAGTACTATGAACTAAACAAAGTTTTAATGTGAACTTTACTTCCACTCCAGATGAAATACTTACACATAAGTGAAACAGAACAACATTTTTTTTGTTTGTGCCACCAACAACATAACAGTGCAGGTTTTGCTTCTACTGCTTCTTGAAGAGTGTCATCAGATTATGTTAGGAGTATGTTAAGTAACGTTATAAGAGGTGGGACCATATGTTAATGAAGAAGTTAAGATGACAGGACAGGACAGATTCAAGCTAGAACATGCAGTTTGAAGAATAGCTGAGGTGGACCATTTTCTGCTTTTGAGCCATAGAGGTAGATGCTAATAGCTCGACCTGTAGAACAAACTTCCATTTGTCTACCAATAGCCAGCCTGCTAATGATTCCCACTCAGCTGCATTTGGCTACCAACATCTTTGCCTATAGTTATCAAAGTTTATATGAAAGAAAGGCAAGGGTATAAAGTATAGAACTTGTTGAACTAACTTTTGAACATGTTCAACAGAACTTTGAACGTAACACTGAACAGAACTCTGAACGTGTCCTTTTAACCAGTCCTACTCTCAGCTGGTGCGGCGTATCTGTTTTCTTCATAGATCTGTAGCAGTGGGCCCTCACTGTTATCTCGTTAGCCTTATTTTTGCCTGATACTTCCATCAGAAATACAAACACATTAAAAACATAGTCATTTCTAGTAACATGGTTAAACTGAACCAGGACGGTTTGGTTCGTGAGCAAAACAAAACTGTCACTTCACTACGCTGCCACATCAGGCTGACATTAGCTACAATTAGCGTCAGCGACTTACCTTCAAAATTGCAGAGGTAGGATTTAAACGAGAACTTGAAACCCTTTTCAAGTTTACTTTGCGGCGTTGTACTTGATCCTCTAACGATACGACGCACATCGTTGACGGTAAACTTCGGTAACTCCAAGACGCACCGTGTAAACTTCATGGACTCAGCCATAACAAAGAGGATACAAGACCAGTGTATATTCTTTTGGCCATAACACCGCACTTCCGCCACCGACAGGAAATATCATACCATCCTTACACTAAACGAGGAAGTGACGCGATGCACCGAGCTTAATCCCAATTCTCTTCCCTTAATCGTAACCCTTGCTTTCAAGTGCACTAAATACTAAGATTTCCCTCAACGACGAAGGAGTAGTTTTGAGGGGAAGGGAATTTCACCTAAGAATTGGGACGCCACTTCATGCAAATTAGTGTAACACGTGTGTCCACCTAGCCTACGTCACGCGTATGGCTGACGTGCGCTTCTTGCACTTATTTCGAGGCGTTTACATTCTATCATGTAGCCTGGAATCCATACTGATTAAGTGCTGGTCGCTCCCAACGGTCACTGACTTATCAGTCTGGCCTCAGTCGTATAGCCAGTGTTTAGCCCTTACGTCACTAATTAAGTGAATATATGAATATTCCTGTTTTCTGCTCTTGGTGAGAACCACCAATCGAATATGAGTTAGCTGGCCAGCAACGGCATTCGTGAATGTTATTTGACATGAGCTTAAAATTAGATTGTGGCTTGCTTATGCGTTTACTCTTGGAGTGGTTGTTAGGTTTTGAACAGGATAATGTTTGGCCATATCTGCATTTTGTTTATTTCAGTGGGATTCCCCGGTTTAATAAAGGCTAAATTAAATAATACTCAAATTACAAAACGTTTTTCACTGTAATTGGCATTAGCTATAGCTTGAAGGGCATGATTGCATCAGCTCGATTAAAGTGATACTCCACCCAAAAACTATAATTTGTATATCAATTACTTACCATTAGATGTCTTGAACGGACGAAGTTGTTCTTCACCTGGCGCAACTTTATGGCCACTGGTGAGTTTTGAAAAATTATCCAAATTCCTTTTTTGCTGGAAGCAAAGGGGGTCACGCAGTAGCAATGGGAAAACTCCACAAAACGTCCGTTGACAAACTTTCAAACCATCGTCCAACGCATTGTCCAGTATAATCAAAGTCAGCTTTGTCCACTCGTATCCTCAGAACTCTAGAAACGCGGTTATTTTTAACTAAAAATAATAAAATACCAGTTCTGCTTCAAGTAAGCTTTCGCCAGATTCAACGGAAGTCCCGCCTCCGGCTCGTTCATTGCCCAGAGACTCTGCTGCCACTCAGATGAATACTCGTATAAACACGAGCCGGGAGGCGGACTTCCGCTGAATGCAGAACTGTGGTATTTTAATTTATTTTTAAGTCTGTCTAAAGGGGGGGAGGGGGGCCCTTTGCGACTGTGAGCCAATCACAGATCTCGCATGGATTTTGTGCGAATATTTGAAAGTCAAACGCTGGCCTACCGACTGAGGCCAGACGTACAAGCAAGTGACCGTTGGGAGCGACCAAAGCTTGATACGGATGGATTCCAGGCTATCTATCATGTAATCTGTATCGGTTTTGTACACTGAACTATAGCCTACTTTATACAGTTACCGACTCATTGCATGGCTTGCCAGAGCGATCATTGCAACTTTGAAAGTTAACATACGCAGCTTCAACCGGGTAGCTGTTGTGGTATGTTCGCATTCACAATCACAAACCAGGTCATGTCACAACACAAATTTCAAAGAAATTGGAATATAACACTTGTAAAACACAGGCATGCTCGTCACGCATAACGATAACATTAGCCAAATGCGTGCAGCATTACTGCTATACAGAGAACTCGGTGGATATCATGCTGGCTACAACGTGAATGGGCGATTTTGAAGCATTCATATTCTAAATCAACACTTACAGATAAAGGTGTATACCCACAAACATAACACATTCCGACATGTTTTGGATTTTTTGCATGCATGCTTATGGAAATAGTGCTTACAATTGTGCGATGCTTTTTTCATGGCAGTTCCATCTTCATGGAAAACTCGTCCAGCTCGATAGTCTCGCAGTGCATCCTGCAAAATTCATTCTTCCCCTCAGTTCGTAGTGAGCATCGCCCGGCCCTTACAATTAAGTGGGAATTTTAAGGGCTAAAAAGCACTTCCTTGAATCATCTTACGGTTTGGGACACCCTTGCCCTTCGCGGGAACGCGCAAATATTAAGGCTAGGGTGGAAGTGTGGGTATTGGGACGGACCCTAAGACGCAAGGATAGAATGCAAGTGAGGGGAGCTAGGATGCACTTTAAAAGACTTGAGACGCAGCCTCTGTCTCTATCGCTTATCCAGCACTTGAATCACCAATCCAACTGGTAAAGGGTTTTATGCATGCGTGGAACACATTGGACAGTGTCGCAAATATGAGTTAAACAATGCACATGCGCAGAACCGATCAGGCAGGAGGTACGGATAGGGCACTGACAATGGCAGCAGACATTTTGTTCCCAGTAAAAACTACCCAGAATACAGTGCAGTAGGGGTCTGAGAGCTCTAGAGGAACTACAGTGTGAGCAGAAAGAAGACTGAGGCCCCATCAGAGCTGAAGTGGACCAGAAAGAGAGCCGGTCCTTTGAAATAAACTCACAATGTGAGCACAAAAAGAAATGAGTTCATTTTCTGTTGGTCCTCTTTTTGGTCCACTTTCAGAGGACTGAGTTTGGTTCTTTTAAAAGGGACTATGTATGAAAACACCCCGAAATGAACGGTGGTGCAGTTGTTTTCATGATACTGGAACTGTGGCTCCAAGAGATGTTCATTTTTCAAATGTCATATTTGAAAAATATAGGCTATATAATAAAGCTAACGGCATACACATAGCTAATACATATATCTATCTCGCTATATCTGCCTGTATATTTTGATCTGGTTCCACCATTATACAGGCTGTTACCAAATTGCAGAATGTTTTTAATATCATACAGGCTCAACGGTCACATTTAAAGCTGGTTTTAAATGCTGACAAAACAAAAGCAATGCACTTCTCAAATTCTTGACAGAGAGATATTATTACTGCTGGAAGAAAGAAGTTAGAAGTTGTCTCCAGTTTTATATATCTCGGTATCCGGCTTGATGACTGCCTGTCTTTTAAACCCCAGGTTGAAAATCTGGTTAAAAAAATTGAGATCAAAGTTGGGGTTTTATTATAGAAATAAGTCCTGTATCTCTTTTGAGGCAAGAAAGAAACTGGTTTCTGCTACTTTTTTTTTATCAGTTATTGATTATGGTGACCTTTATTACCACCACAATTCCGAAATAGTTGGGACAAAGTGTAACTTGTGAATAAAATCTAAATGCAATGACTTTCAGATCACATGAGCCAACATGTTATTTACAATAGAACATAGTTTCAACATTTGAAATGTTATCTGAGATATTTTACATTTTTATCCACAAAATGAGCTTATTTCAAATTTTCTGGCTGCAACAGGTCTCAAAAAAGTTGGGACACAGGCAAAAAAGGGCTGAAAAAGCAATTAATATATAAGAGAATCAGCTGAAAGAACATTTAGCAAGTAATTAAGTTAACTGGCATCAGGTGGGTAACATGATTGGCTATAAAAGGGATGTCTTAGAGAGGCTGAGTCTCTCAGAAGTAAAGATGGCCAGAGGCTCTCCAACCTGTGAAGGCTTGCGTAAAAATATTGTGGAATACTTTAAAAACAATGTTCCTCAACGTCGAATTGCAAAGGCTTTGAAGGTCTCATCATCAACAGTGCATGCCATCATTAAAAGATTCTGAGAAATTGGAAAAATCTCTGTGCGTAAGGGACAAGGCCGAAGACCTTTACTGGATGCCCGTGATCTTCGGGCCCTCAGACGCCACTGCATCACTCACCGGCATGATTCTGTCATTGACATTAGTAAATGGGCC